GTATGTGGGTGTGTGTGTGTGTGTGTGTGTGTGTGTGTGTGTGTGTATGTCCGTCTTTCACCTGGCACGTGCCAGTGTACAACCCAAAAACAATTTCAATTCCACCTCTACAGCACGCGACCTTATAATCTTCGTTTATTGAATCACCTCTAACTCTTAATACGACTTGACATCCTCTCATACATCAATGAATTTAATATATTGTTGCTTTGATTTTTATTATCTGTTGCATTACAACTCAATAAACATCAAAGATAAGTCAAATAAATAAATATTATAGTTATCTACATATTTAATTAATTTTATTATTTTTTTTGCATTAATAAAACATATTTATTATTTTTATAAAACCGCCTTGTTCAAATCTCTTTGCTGGCTGGAAGCGAATTACAAGAAAAAAAAAAACGAAAACGAAATAAAAATGGCGTCCGTTTTATAAATCAGCTGTAATACAGTTTGAAATATGTTTGTCGGGTGTTGTAATAGGCAGTTTGTATTCAGTGGCGGGCTGTTAGGATTACGTTGGTAAGGAGGAGATTGGGAACGAAAAATATTATGTTGTTATAAAGATATACAATATATATTATAATATATATATATCGCGTTTCCAAGAGAACCTTTCAAAAGTCTGAGATAAAAACTATCCTATGTTCTTCCTCAAGGTCAACTCTACCTCTGTACGAAATTTCATTAAAATCAGTTCAGTGGTTTATGCGGGAAAGCGTAACAGACAGACAGAGTTACTTTCGTATTTATAATATTAGTATGGATTATTTAAGCATATTATTGTGTTAGTTTCATTGACTATGAAGTTAGTTGGTCTAAGTTTTGATATAACAACAATGCATTGCATCTTCTGGGAGAAAACATTAGTTCTGTTTGTATGGAGACTTATTAGAACATGTAGTGAAGCGAAATCGACTTAATAGGTTAAGTAATTTCTGTAATAGAAAATATACATACATAATAAAAACTAAAATTATGGAAGAGAAAAATTTATTACAAAAAAATACAAAAATTTTATTATGAGTGTCCGAACCTACTAAAAATTTAAAAAATGATTGATTTCTTAAAATATCTTTTTTCATACTATAATATTTCTGCGTATTTTTATCGAGCCTCGTATTAACTCATAATAAAAATGACAATACTTCACTCTAAAACTCACATACAAAATACAACTCTATATACATAACATAAAGCTCATTTCACCTTGTGATTTTGTGAATACGTTTCAATATACCAATACATTCATAGTATTATAACCTTTATTACTTAACAATAAGTGTGAATTTCCCTTGTATTTTTATAATAATCGCTAGTAACGTTGTCTTGTATACATCGACCCTAACAGTATTAGACAAAAGCGGGAACGATATATTTTTTTCATTAAAACTCTTCTTTTATCGTTTCAATGTTTTTAATATTTATTTTAAGTTTGTACTTTATAATAATTATTATATACATAATATATCCCTACTAATATTATAAATGCGAATGTAACTCTGTCTGTCTGTTACGTTTTCACGCCTGAACCACTGAATTGATTTTAATGAAATTTGGTACTGAGATAGAGTTGACCTTGAGAAAGAACATAGGATAGTTTTCATCCCAGACTATTGAAAGGTTCTGTTGGAAACGCGATATAACCGAACTCTACGCGGGCGAAGCTGCGGGCGGAAAGCTAGTATGTATATATTTTATTAATAATATAATTCAATAATGCTTTAATAGGTGGAAATTAATTTGTAAGTGATGGACGTATGAACTAAGAAGAAAACTTATTTTTCTTCTTTCTTTATTTTCTTCTTTATTTCTTTTCTTATTATAAGAAGAAAACATAGTTCAAATTACTTATACCAATGATTTGCTATGAGCATTTCTTTCTATATGAAGATGGTTTATAAAAAAGGCTTTAGAGCCACAAAAGGTATAAGTAAAAAGGACATATAGGAACTAAATAGTATAATTTACTTTACATATATTTAAAACACGAAAAAAACCGGGATAAAAATCTAGTTCAATAAATACAAGGTACAATATTGATAGATATATTTTTAGAGTAGAATTATAATGTTAATACGATAATTATGTAATAAATCGTAAATATTGTATTTTAATGAATTTATTATTTCATTTAGATACATAGGATCTTCACATGATAGGAGTATTCAAAGAATAATCTTAATATTTTTATAACATACTAGCTTTCCGCCCGCAGCTTCGCCCGCGTGGAGTTCGGTTATATCGCGTTTCCAAGAGAACCTTTCGAAAGTCTGGGATAAAAACTATCCTATGCCCTTTCCCAAGGTCAACTCTATGTCTGTACCAAATTTCATTAAAATCAGTTCAGTGGTTTAGGCGTGAAAGCGTAACAGACAGACAGACAGACAGAGTTACTTTTGCATTTATAATATTAGTAGGGATACCTTAACATATAAAAATTAATATATGTATATATAATTGCGTTTTATTTATTTATTTCTCAATACATATACCTACATTTTAATGTATTAAATCACGAAAATCTCCAACAATACATCTTCATGTACTTACATTCCAAATGTATATATATACATATATATGTATTTTAGTACATAATGTCGCCTGCAGTATAAGCCTCACCCTCTGTCATTGCTCCCTGTATCCGTGAAAGCCTTCAAGCACCCTCAAAGCCTTCCAAACTCAACTCTCTCTTGTCATAGGTATTTTTAATCTAAATTCCTCGGATTTCTAAGAGCGATAAAATCGAGAGTACGCCATATTGTTTTCAACAGTACTATTTAATCTTTATATATATAATTCTTCTGTGACTGTGTATGTCACTGAACTTCTCTCAAACGACTGGACCGATTTTGATGAAATTTTTTGTGTGTGTTCAAGGGAATCTGGGAATGGTTTAGATTCACAATTTTGTCCACTGGACAATGTTTTTTTAATTAATTTTTAATTTATTAGTAGTTGTTGATACAAACGTTTCTTTTGACATTAGATTTGACAATTAACTAATATGTCAATCATTCTGTCGCACTTCAAAACACGGAGATTATAATGTAGAAGTTGACTTATGTATCTTCTTCTTCCTGGCAATTTCCCAGCTTTAGCCAGGGTCTGCCTTACATGTTGTGAATAGTTTTGGCTTATTGTTTTGTTTTTACGACCGGCCGCCTGCCTGACATCAACCCTCTTTGGGAATGCATTAATCAGTGATGTCTAAATACTCTTAGAAAGTACATATGACTCGGAAAAATCACATTGGTACTTGTTGTCTTATATGTAGGTATATATTTTTAAAAGTATTCGTTTTAACTTTTATAAGGACGTTTCTATATTAACTGGAAGTGAAAATTTTATATTAAAAAATGTTATTTTAGTAGCGAGTAGACTTGCAGCACTTGGAACATACATACAAACAGACTTTTAAATAATAATAAATTTAATTTAGTTCAAAATAGTGTAGAAGATTGATTGAAATTAGCTTACAAGATATTTATATAAATTTTTGTATTATAATTTCTTAATATTATTTTACTATTAACCTACTTATTGATCAATTTATATACGCGTATTTTGAATTAGGGATATTAAAAAAATATATGTACCTACTTATAAAAATGTTTATTTTTCAGTTCGTATATTTTCTTCGTTAAAAAACACTTAATTTGATTTTTACTAATAATTACAGATATATGTGTTTTGTGGCAAAGTTTAAACAGAACAGTTTTAAATATGTAGGTACATATAGTTTTTCAAACATGAAGACATTATAGTCGCTGCGACAGTATTGTCGCATGTCTGAGACCCACCTGGAATTCTTTCAAAGGCGACTTTCATGAGTTTTTATTAAATTCTTCCCCGCTTTATATCTCTACTTGAAGTTTTAATATCGCGATACAGAAATTAACAAGCGGCCACTGAATGTATTTAAATGAAAGAAATATGTTTGTTTTAAATGTATATAGAGAGGGGAGGGGGGAACTAGGACACTCTGAAATATTCAGTTATGAAATAACTTATAAATAAAATATTTTAAAACAAAGAAATAATATCGATAGAAAACGAAGATAGAACAATAACGCGAAGTTTTCAACAGAATATTATAAAAAAAAAGGAAAATAAAATAAAAAAATTAAATCAAACGCATTCCTTATTCAACGACGGCCGAAATCAGAAACAAGAAAATCCACTCAAGCCTCACGCAGCCCTCGAAATATATATATATGTATAGACGGAGGTTCTATTTGTTTTTTCCATTACAAAAGAAACGCCCTGTGTCTATACACATTATATATCAATATTCAGCGACCAACTGCCTCGACGCCATTGGTCCGTAACGGAGGCAGGCTGCATTGCTATACGAACTGGTGACAGAAAGAGATAGATATATCATCACAGAGCCGTTTCCTCATGAGAGAGACAGGGACGGAGATACGTTTGTGATGTTAATATTGCATGGAGTCGCTAGTCTCATATCAATATTGGGAGCACGAATGAAATAATAGATTATTCGTTTGTTGGGTACGAGAGTTAACAAAACGTTAACATCCATTAGTGAGGCGAGCGGCGCCGGGCGCGAGGGTTGTATGTGTGTGAGGGAGACGTACTTTGTATGTGTGTGTGTGTGTGTGTGTGTATGTGTGTGTGTATCTCGAGCGTCATACTCTCTATAGGAACAGTCGGGTAGGCCCCATTAAACGATCACTACGAACTAGCGAACAGATCCGTACAAATTAATACTAAACGGCTTATAATAATAAAATAATAAAAATTAATTGACACTACATATAATTAAAGATAATTGATGTTTAATTAAACGATTATTAACTATTTAGTATTTAGATTTTGTGACCGCGAGTGTTGCGAAAATTTTTAATAAAAAAAAATATGGTATATTAATATATATTAATATTATAGTAGAGTGTGTTCTTGTGTATGTTTGTTTGTGTCAGTGAAGGTATGGCGAAAGAATAGGGGGTGGCCAGGGTTGGCCTTTTGAGGCCATGCTCAATAATCTAACTACTGCTCTAGGAGGTATGTCGATTGTATATATATACATTATACACTACACATATATACAGATGAATTATGTATAATCTATTCTTATTAGAAGATTCACATTTAACAAAACATATGTACTTTCGATTGAAAATTCTTAAATAAAACAAATTAAGGGCGATAATTTAAATGTAAAATAAAGTATATATTTCTAAGAATAAAATGTATAATAATATATTAAAATAATAGTAAAATTAATTGATTCTTAAACAAAATAAAATATATTAATTTTTCATTAATTTTAAGAAAATAAAAATATTTATTAGATAGCTATATAGTTTGTTTTCTAGGAATAGTTTTATCTTGAACCTATCATGATGAAATATAAATGTGTTTTAATTGAAATTAAATTTACTTATTAATAGTTTTAATACATTTAAAAAATCTAAATTACACAAACATATATATATATATTTTCTTATATATTGAGATTTAACTTTCACGAGTATTCATTTAAATGAAACTAATATTTATCGAATTATACTTCGCGGTTTATTTTTGTAAAAACTACATACTCCCGACGTTTCGGTTACTTTTCTTACGTGTTTATTATACAAGTACATAGTATCAATCTAATTAATAACTAATTATTTTTCATATAAGCTTTATATATACATATATAACAATCCTATAGTATGTACGTATGTATCTATGTTATCTTCAAACTACCTATTACTACGAGTACTATTGAGGCTTCATTTAATTCCGTCATGTTGTATTTTTATTCTTATATAATATTTGAAATAATATATATAAAAAGCAGGAAAAACTGCATTTACGTATATATGTATATATAATTATAACCTTTATATGTTGTTTCGCGAATATTTTATTACTTAGGTAAATACTTTCATATTTTTTATCATAAAAGATAAACGAAAACTCATTATATCTTAAAAGATACGGAAACAAAGAAAGTCTACAAAGAAACTGCAATTATAATATACCTATTATTGTATATAGCTAAGTAAAGGAAAACAGTAACATTTACTTTTATGGATATATAAAAGTAAACATCTTATAAAGAGGCAATATCCCGGCGATTGGAACAGTTCCCGTTTTACGGGATTCGTTTCTATTAACCCCGCTTTACGATCCCGGAGTAATCCCTTCATCCCGGGACTGTAATATTTGTTGTCGGCTCTCTTTGAAATATTTTGTTTATATTTTTAACGGCCGGTTTTTGGTGAAAATGTAATAGGTATTCAACTTTTTTCATGAATAAGTAACTTTATTTTGTGTTAAATATTATATGTATAATTATATTTTATCAATTAAAATAATTCTAATATATTTTCGTCTTAATATTAAAATGTTATAACTTAATAGTCAAGTCTTCATAATTTTTACAAAACATAACAATTCTTATTGTTCGATTGATGTACTTCAAACAAAAACCTTAAAATTACAAACTTGGTAATACTTTCTACATAATACTATTTTTTATAATAATATTATAAATTTAATCCACATAATATATTCAATTTAAATTAAACCATATTATATATAGCATTAAAATTTAAAATACAAGTTATTTCCTTTCACTGAACTATTTAAACATTACATTCGTATTAAGAAAATTATAGAGAAGCCAAGATTTGTATTCTATAAGCAGTTTATGATAGATCACAAAATAACAGAGTAGGGTTAGGATCAAATAGGAAAGTCCAAGATGCGGATATATTGAAGTCTTTTATTCGGCAAGACGAGAACGATAAATATAAGATCCATGCAATGAGTTTAGAAATGCAGAACCAGTGGTGAGACATAGGAGATTTTTGCATCCCATTAGCATTAAAATGGCGCACTTTAATTTATGATTGGTCGCCAGCATTGCTAAGATTTTATCTAAATGTTGGTCAATTACTCTCCCAGATCAGAGTAATTTATTAAGATGAGGTAAAGGTACCCAAAAAACTTGCCATATCTGTGGAAAGGCAGTTGGAACTGCTAAGCATCTGCTGGTGGGATGAAGGGTACTCCTGGACAGCAGTCAATACTCGCGTCGTCACGATAGGGTTCTAGAGATCATACGTGAAGCGGTTAGTCTTTCGGTAGCCAGAGCGCAAAGGGAAATAACCACAAACGAACGATCAGTGGGTTTTGTGAGAGAGGGCACCAGGGCAACAAAATCAAACGACAATCCTTACTCTATCCTTAAAGCGGCGTCGGATTGGACTATAATGATGGACACGTATGAAAAACAATATAAAATCCCCGAGGATATTTGTGACCAGGCCTCCAGACCAGACATATTTTTGTATTCGGGAATTTTAAAGCGAGTAGTGATGATAGAGCTTACGGTGCCTTGGGAAACCAACATCCCCAAAGACCATGCCATCAAGGTCAATAAATATTACGACTTCACTAAAAAGAGGTTAGTTTTACAGTGGGAACGAGAGGTATAACAATTAAATCTCTCTACAACCTACTTAAAAACTTGGGCCTGTCCAGAACTAATTTTAATACATTCTTGGAACGTACGTCGAAGGCAGCCCTAGTAGGTTCTTTTCAAATTTGTTTAGGTAGAGAGAGGAGCTTGGACAGTGGAGGTGAGCATATAACGCGCGTTTTAAACGGACCATCTATAGAATGCTTAGAAGTTTCGTCTCGACTTATTTTATTTAATTATTTATAATTTTCTATTATTAGTATAACTTAAATTATATGTAACATAAAATGCAAGTAATACATATAATTAATGTCATTATTAAAAGATTCCTTACATCTGAAAAAAATATCCTTCTCTTTGCAATGTTAAGGAACAATTAGCTTTTTTAACTATAATATGAATTGTAGGTAAAATATACATATTATCTACATACATATACTTATTTAAATCAAAAATTATTTTATATTGTTTTATTACTTTTATAATCAAGAATTTAAAATTAGTAGATTTTTTATTGAATAAACAGTTTACAGAAATATTGAACTCTATAAGTATCGTTAAAAATATATTTGTAAAACATATAAATATTTTATATACATATTTATCAAAATCATGTTTCAACAATAAGTTTCTTATGTGTCCCAGACAATAGTTTTATGTAAAGTAAATTACAATACATATAAACTACATATTATTAGTTGTTAAACATAAAACTTTGTAGAGTTTATTATAATAACGTGTGCTTTTTATACAAAGAATAAAATAACAAAATCACTTCAATTATCATTTGAAAATTACATTTACAAATCTTCTACATGTGAGAAGAAGCTTTTGCTCAGCAGTGGGTTCTGATAAGCTGATGATGACAAATGAGACATAAAAAAATGTAAAAAATATTCAATTAAAATAACTATAGTGAAAAAAGAAATCATATTATGAAGTATAACTGAGAATGATTTAATTTAAACAGTTAATAATTGTCAATAATTTAACATTATAACGTGGGTCTTAAACAAGTTTATATTTATTTCAATGAAAACTTACAAAATCTCTTATATTACCCACTGTATTAAAAAAAAATTGGTTCTTTACTTGAAAGGATATCGAAATAAGAGTTACTTGAAAGTGAAGTTCATTGATAATGTTACTATTTTCTGCCCGCGACTTTGTCCGCGTTAATTTCATAATTACAAAATGTATAGCTGACCAGGCTAACTGTTTCGATTAAGAGTCACTAATTGAACAGATTTTGAATTTTATTTGCAAATATTTTTGATCGAATTAATTCAAAAGTATCTTATAATTTTTCCCTTGTATTAAGCTACCTGCCCGCAAATTTTTTATCATATCCCTACAGCCGTTCTTGAGTTATACTAATACGACTTTCTTATGTCTATTGAGATATAGCAATATAACATACACTTTTGCGTATTGAAATTTACACTAATTGTAAGTATAAGACACTTTCATTTTATCCGTCCGAGATTACAGCTACTGAAAAGGAAACCCGAAATCGAGTCAAATGTAGTACATATAATAAAATTGGAAAAACACAGTCACATCTCGTCTGTCAGTGATCACGGTTGCTGAAAAGTAACCGAAACGTCGGGAGTATGTAGTTTAAAATAATAAAAGTAATTTCATTTAAATGAATACTAGCGAGTCTTAGATCTTATTATGTAAACCATAGTTTTATTAATAAAACGTCTTTGTTCAGGTCACAAAGAGCAGTGTTCAGAGAACAAGCTCGACTTGAAGCCGAACCTGGAGAGGCATCATGCGACAGGGGCGAGGCTCCTCGGGCACTCCATACGAGCTGAACATTTACAAGGTATACAAATATACAGTTTAGAATAAGTATATGAATACAGACGGACAAAAGATCAACTGGACAGTTCAATAAAAGTATGGATATTATACAGGATGCAGCAGTAAAAAAAACAAGCAATATTGATAGAGAGTATAGTGTTATATTATTTTATGCTTACATTTCATAGTAATGTTGAATGGGCTTGTATCTTAATAGGCTCAAAAGGACTTATATCCAGAGCCGTAAAGAATTTTAAAAAAATCTAACTTAATAGTGAACTTACGATATACATTAATTTCAATTTACCATCAAGTAGGATGAAAGACAGAAATCATGATGTCAATAATTATAAAAATGTTATACTAAGTTTTGACTAATACTTAACCATTGTCAAATAATTCTGCCAAAAAATTGTAGCAAATTGGTATTATACCAGTTCTAAGAGTGTGTTACTTTTCAGGTTTTATTACTAAATTTTGACTCATACTTAATCTTTGTAATATAATTCTCACATACATACTATAGCAGTATGGTCAGTGGTGGCCTAATGGTTAGAGGGTCCACCTCTCGTTGCCGATGGCGCGGGTTCGATCCTGGCCCTGACAAGTACCAATGTGATTTTTCCGAGTCATATGTACTTTCTAATAGTATTTAGACATCACTGATTAATGCTGATTCCCAAAGAGGGTTGATGTCAGGCAGGCGGCCGGTCGTAAAAAACAATTAGCCAAAACTATTCACAACATGTAAAGCAGACCCTGGCTAAAGCTGGGAAATTGTCAGGTAGAAGAAGAGATACTGTAGCAGTATGGTATAGTATAGTATTATTCCAGGTCTAATAGCGTGTTTTTCCAGGTGGTATTCATCAACAGCACAGCGGTCACATGGCCACAGTACCTGTCAGCATGTCTTCATCCACATCTGATAGTGACAAGCCAGCGAAACAGAAAAGACATAGAACGAGGTACGTCTCATGTATACGAGAATTATGAATAGAATAAGTAATTACTAGACTCACTAAAAATACTATCCTTTTTTAAGAACGATCATTTTTTCGTCTAAGGCGTTCAAGAATAAATAATAGTTTTAAATAAACTAAAAAAAAACTAAAAAGAAAAAAATAAAATGTATCTGTCTAAAACGCTCACAACAAAATTAGTACGTAATATTTTGTTTTGTTTTCTCATTAAAGTGAAATGTAATTTCTTTTGAGAAATAAATGTCTTTAACCACAAAAATAGAAAATAATTTTCAATTAAAAAGAAATAATTTTATTTCATAGTAAAAAGAATGGAGATTATTTGACTACCTTTTATTTCTTTCTTGTCATAGATAATTGCTACTACATAGAATGATTGTAACATATTTACATTCCAAGCTAATAAAAACGTGTTAAAAAATTCTATAAGCTTATTAGATTTGTACCTTGATTGAAAATATTTAATTTAAGACAGTGTTATTACATTCAGGTTTACACCGGCGCAGCTAAATGAATTGGAGCGATGCTTCACTAAAACACATTACCCGGATATATTCATGAGGGAGGAAATAGCGATGCGCATTGGACTCACGGAGAGTAGAGTACAGGTTAGTGTTATATTATATAGAGAGTTTATACATTAAGTCTTATTATATACATGTATATCATCAGCCTATCAGAGCCCACTGCTGAGCCTCTTCTCACATGAAGAAGGTTTGAGCATTAATCACCACGCTTGCTCAACGGGTTGGTGATTTCAAACTTATAATTTGATAATAAGTCCAGGTTTCCTCACAATGTTTTCCTTTATCGTCAGTGGTGTCTAAATATTCTTAGAAAGTACATATGACTCGGAAAAATTTATTAGTATTTGCCGTGCCCTCATACACAAGCGGGCTTTTAACATCTAGGCCACAACGATTATATATGTATATTATCGTGTATCAAACATTCAGCGGATCATTTTTCCTAAACTGAATCGATTGTAAACACACCATCGACCGTTATATCTGACATCCGCTAAATATTCCCATCAACAATGATAAAAAACATAAAAATAAACGGTGGGCACCTTGCGTCTTGCGAGGCTCCCTCTTCGCACGTCGTGTACAAAACTTGCACTACATTGATACATTTCACGAGGCATTCTACCTGCAGCGACCTTCGGTACATGTACAAACAGATTTTATGTGGTCTTTATGTGTCGAAATACGGCACAAGTAGAAGATTGACCGTCGAACGCTTCACTACGGAGTAGGGACATTACTTTTATGGAGTGTAAAGATCTACCAGTTATAAAGATATCAAAATTTAAGCTTTTAAATCTCGTTTATAATGTGTTTTACTTGATTAATTAAACAATGAGATCTAAGATTTTCGTTAGTTTTATTCATTTAAATGAAACTAATATTATTCGGATATAATACGCGACTTTATTTTTCCAAAAAAATTACATAATCCCGACGTTTCGGCTACTTTTAAGCAACCGTGATCACGGGCAGACGAGAAGTCGTGATCACGGTTAATAAAAGTAGTCGAAATGATGGGAGTACGTAGTTTTATAGAAAAATAAAGTCGCCTAGTATAATCCGAAAAATATTAGTTTCATTTAAAACATATAAACAAGACAATTATAGCATTAAAGTCTACAAATAATGCGAAATATTTCCTCTGTACACGTTAAATGTTTAAGCCTACATCGTATTTCTTCTAATGATAATCGTTCGTCTCCTATGATCAGCGCTGTCTGCTAATAGTGACTTTGTAGAAGCATTTAGTTCTATATAAACTACACTTTACGTTAGGAATTAGTCTTCATTTGTGTCGTAGGCCCACTACTATTTGTATTTCGTTAACGCAACACATACGGTAGCCACCTTCTGTCAACATTAACTACGCAGTTATATATGAAACTACCATATTTAGTTTACTATATACAATGAAACAATTTCATACGAAATACTAATACGTTTTAATAATGGTGAAAAAATTAGGTAGTTTTATTTCTACATTAGCTTTCCGTCCGCAGCTTCGCCCGCGTGGAGTTCGGTTATATCGCGTTTCCAAGAGAACCTTTCAAAAGTCTGGGATAAAAACTATCCTATGTTCTTTCTCATCGTCAACTCTATCTCTTTACCAATTTTCATTAAAATCAGTTCAGTGGTTTAGACGTGATAACGTAACATACAGACAGACAGAGTTACTTTCGCATTTATAAAATTAGTAGGGGTGAAAAATTATTTATCAATATTGTCTATAGTTGATTCTGTAGTATTTTAGAAGTTTTCTGTGTTCTTAATCCTAATTTACATCACATTACAAAGATTTGATAGTTTTTCATTCACAAATCTTGTCATTACAATAGAATGAGAGACGTAAAATGTTTCGTATGTGTGTCTTAACTCGTACTAAGCTTCAGACCAACTTGTTTGCTGTCCATTCGTGGTGTCAGTGTGTATTAAATGATTTGTTATAGGTGTAAGTTACCAGGTGATCGTTAAAGTGTGTTAAGAGTTGTTATTGATTGACGGCTACCGTATTACTTCTGTTTAAATCATACATTATTTAGTCATTAATATTAATTATCTCTTCTTTGTACATACAAGAGACTATTGTGAGTGACTTGATATATAGATATAAACTCATATTATTCTTTACTTTTACTTATATAGTTTTAAAGTTATCGTTATTTTTTCTGAATAATGTCTTTAGTAATAATAAATTTGTTTCTAGAAGAACAAAAATAAAATTTCTGTCTCTGATACAGTGTGAAGAGGCGGCGTGTGAATACTAAGAAGTCAGAACATATTTAATGTGTTCGTGTTTGTTCAAGTAATACAGACAGACAAACACTATGCTTGCAAATACATTATTACTACTAGCTCCTATAACATATATGGACTTTCATATTTATACAGGGTAGAATTTCTTTACTGAAATCTGGAACATTTTTAAGTAAAGTTTTTCTTGTAAGAGAATTTAAGATTTTTTTTTACAAATTGAAGTCGATACTTCATATTTTAAAAGAATTGAAGAAATATAATATTTTTTTTCATAGTAGCTTTATACATTATCCGTTTTCTTCGATTTCATCTGTTCTATGATTGCATTAAATTCCATATTAATCATATATTGAAACAAATTTTATGCTAGCTTGTTATTTAAAAATTAAATTAGTTTAAAGAAATATAGCACTAACTACCCATTAATAAGTATCATATTTAATTCAAAGGATTTTTATATACAATATAACGAGTGCGTGTTGTAGGATGAAATATAATGAACTATGACAAAAGAACAATCAAACTAATTTTGTTCCATTTTAATAACATTAAAAGCTTATTGTAGCGATGACGTCATAATCATGACGTCACGGTGCCGAATAATCCAAGCGTGAGTAACACCGGAGTACAATAAAACATACAAGAACGGACCATTCACATGAAATAATTAAGATGTAACAGACAGTAGCCGATTGTAAGATGTTTTACCACACAAGAATATGATCCAATGGGCCTAGGGTTCAGCGGGCATGGGGGAAAAACCATGAACAAAGTCACGGGATATAAGATGTACTTCGTATAATTCATCAACATGATCGAAAATAGTATTTACTTTGATAAATGTTCTATTATTATGTATTGATTGTATAATTATAGGTTAGTATAAGGATTTATTCATAATTTTATACCTAATACATATAATTTCTGTCCTAATGTTAGTTACCGTACTCTCTCGAAACGGTTTTACAGATTTTCACCAAATTTTATATACGTATTCAGTAGGTCTGAGAATCGGCTACTGTCTATTTTTCATACCCGGAAGTTATAAGGGTTGTTCACGCTAAAATTTTTTGTAGTTTTGGGCAATTTTTTTTAATGATACATATCTAAATTTTTACTTTTTATCACCAATGTCTATTTTTGTGTATGGAAAAACAACTTTTGCTGGGTAAGCTAGTATATATATATACATATATATATATATGTGTATAAGTATATGTAATGAACCTTCCAAGTCCATCCGTTTCGTTGCTAGCACCACCACGGCGACTTCTTCGCGCCTAACCGTGAAATTCTTGTTCAAGTTTTATATTTTTATTTTATTTTTATAGCGAGCCTTTGTAGCTACTTTTTAAGGACCGTGTTGTATTTGCATTACCGTCCGTTGTTTTTTTTATTCCGTCCGGAGATAAAAGGTTATTTTAGCGGAGCGTTACTTTTGTTGGAAATCTAAATATTTTTTGGTTTTACTCTGAGTTTCTTTGATAGAGACTTTCACAGAACATTCTTCTTCTAATAAATTTTATTCGGTAGGCCTTTGGGACCTTTTCATTTGTAAGACTTTCAACTGAAATGTCACTTGCTTGACAGTTTTGATTGAAGATTTCGTTGACTAGACGACGAAGACTCTCCTCTTAATTAGGTCAAAGTTAATTACATCTTATATATAAGGTTTAGTTTTATATAAAAATTATTGTAATATTTTCACTATAATAATATATAATTAAATATATTACTTAGATATTCTACATGACATATAAAATATGATATATGTTTTAGTATTGTCTTCAGATTTTTCATTCTATTTAATCACCTGTTTTATTTTGAGAAGGTTCATTTTACTTTTTTTATATAGATTTTTTAAACCCATTCAATTTAGATAAAAAAATAAAAATCTGAGACTTCCCTAGTAATTATTAAAATTAAATATAGATTTTCTCATTAACAACGTGGGTTTTTTAGACACTTTCATCTCGTCTGCTCGTGATTACGGTTGATGAAAAGTAACCGAAACGTCGGGAGTATGTAGTTTAAAATAATAAAAAACGAGTAGTACCTAATTCGAAACCATTTTTTTTATTTAAATACTATATCTTATAATGTTCATTTCATCATGTTGTACATATTTAATTCATGTAGGGGGTATTTTCTATTCAAGTGAAAAGTTTACTATGTAATGTGTTCACAAACATACATGCATACAGTACATAAATAGTTCGTTCCTAATTTAGCCGCCGCCGTTTGAAATATAAGGCTTTTAAAATATTAATATCTAATACAAAGTATGTGAAATATTGTTTTATATGTATCTATAATATATAACAATTTGTCAGTGGTGGCCTAATAGTTAGAGAGCCCGCCTCTTGTTGCCGAGAGCGCGGGTTCGATCCTTGCAAGTACCAATGTGATTTTTCCGAGTCATATGTACTTTCTAAGAATATTTAGACATCACTGATTAATGCTGATTTACAAAAGAGGGTTGATGTCAGGCAGGCGGCCGGTCGTAAAAAAAATTAGCCAAAACTATTCACAACACGTAAGGCAGACCCTGGCTATAGCCGGGAACTTGCCAGATAGAAGATATAATACCTATATAACAATAAAACGTGATGTGTGTATGTATGTCCGTTGAAGAAACATAGATTTTTTGATTCACATAAATTTTGTTACAAACTATAGTGTTAACAAACATTGCAATGGAATTTTTTATTTACTGCAATTCATCTGAATTATATTAAATAAATAAATATTTTAATAAATATATAAAGTTTTTATCACGAATGTAAAAGGTAAATATAAGCTAAAGATGACATTAATCATAACTT